CACGTTGAAAAATTTATGAGAGGTTTTGGTAAAAATGGGATAATCCTGAAGTGTCGTTCCCCCTGGGAATAGTATATAGGGTTTTTAGTCTAATTTCCGTCCTACTAAGCACAACACGCACTTAACATCTCTTTTTAGATCGAATATGAACCCAAAACTGGAGTGATTCTACTATAGATAACTTCCAAATTTATTTACCTTTTTATACGTACCATTTGATTTGATAAAGAGTAAGATATTGTTAGAAATCTAACATAGATTCTTGATTCCAAATTCGTTCTACGTGTTTTTCTTCGTTCTTCGTGTCAAAATGACCGCACAAAATTCAAGACCAACAATTGAAAAGACCTCAACTCCATTTTGTAAACAAACCTTGTAAGGCCATTTTCTCGCGAACCGAAACCTACATTCGCAAACCTAAACCAAAATCGGGTAGAGGAGAATTTCCCCTACCTGTATTCATTCTGTTGTTTTGCCTTGGCGGACTTCGGTTCGCGAGAAAATGGCCTTACAAGGTTTGTTTACAAAATGGAGTTGAGGCCTTTTCAATTGTTGGTCTTGAATTGGTTCATTGAACCTAGCGAGCAAACATGCTTAGTTTCTTGGTACTCTCACCTAAAACCTATTTTTTTTTATTTATGCGCTATTTGGCCTGGAACTGCTCTGTTGCTTTAGAATTGTGAAACGGGCAGCTTGGCACGACTTATGGCTGATCAGATTTGAAGCAGAAAGCTCTGTTATAGTCTTAGACAATAATTGAATAAATGTATGTCGAGCGGAAACTTTATTAAACTTTCACAAAACCATGAGTTTTTGCTTTTTTGAATTAAAAACCCGAATGTATCCACCTATGGTGTGATCAGACCCTTCTTACTTATTCAAGTTTATTTATTTTATTGTCATTATCAGTGACCAAGCCCCCCCCCCCCCGTGTCATCCAGTGACGCTACGCTACTGCCTAGGGGTACCCGGAATATATCCGGGTGTAGTCTATTTGGTGAGGCTACCAATCACCTTATCATCGTATTTTAATGTGATTTAATGGGTTTTAATTCAATTCATATTCAAGCAACTTCCCCGGGGTACCCGGAACATGTCCAAGTGTGTCCAATGTGGTCTGGAACACTTAACACGACTTGCATTGATCTTATTGTTGAATTCTGTAGTAATTTGATGTGTCGCATGATGGTTTTGATACGTTTTCCGTTAAATCCAGCGTGAAGGCCCATATTCACCGGATCTTATTCCGGCCATATCTCCGGAACCGGTTCACCGATTCCAAAACCGTTCAATAGCGTTCAATGGGACCCCAAGACCTATCATTTGGCGCCGAGTTTGTCCAAATCGGTTGAGCGGTTGCGGAGAAACGTGAGCGCATTCATTTCGTTACATACACACACACATACACACATACACACGTACACACACACACACACAGACATGTTCCGATCTCGTCGAGCTGAGTCGAATGGTATATGATGGTTTTGATACGTTTTCCGTTAAATCCAGCGTGAAGGCCCATATTCACCGGATCTTATTCCGGCCATGTCTCCGGAACCGGTTCACCGATTCCAAAACCGTTATATAGCGTTCAATGGGACCCCAAGACCTATCATTTGGCGCCGAGTTTGTCCAAATCGGTTGAGCGGTTGCTGAGAAACGTGAGCGCATTCATTTCGTTACATACACACACACATACACACATACACACACACACACACAGACATGTTCCGATCTCGTCGAGCTGAGTCGAATGGTATTTGACACTCGGCCCTCCGGGCCTCGGATCGATAGTCGGTTTTTCAAGTGATATCTATACCCTTCTTTGTAAGAAGGGTAAAAATGTAAACCACAAAATCATTTTTAAATGCAAAAATGGCCGGAACTTAAAATCCGTCCACATCCGTAGATTACTTTGCTTGTCACGTGGAATTTATGAACCAAATCCAAGGAATGACCAGCCCAAATGACGTAATTACGTTCTTTTTGCCACTTAATTTATTGTAACGTATACTACCTCCAATAAGTAGAAATGATTCGAAACAATAATCGCCTTTTCATAATATTCAAGCTATATAACATGACGCAGGTTGTGTAGAACAGCAGTTGATTAATTTAAAAAATGCGTATTTTTACGCTTTTCAGCCCACAACAGCATATTGCTTGCCAGACAAGGAACTTTTTGGGGATTTTCTACTTCTTTTTGGTTTTACATGGAGGGGATAGACCGGGATTTTCGTTTCGAGCGCAGGATCCAATCACGACTTGCTTGCTCCGGTGAAACCATGATGTAAACAAATGAACTTATCCTGACAACCAATGCCTACTATGAATCTATACATTCTTAGCTTGAATCAGTGAAATTTATAAAAAATACTCCAAAAATGCCTTAATGGCACCGTTTTTAATGTGTCCCGATTTTTTCGTGTTCAACCTTCACTATACTTTTTAAAAATTTACTGAACTTCTACATAACTTTCTCAGGGTGTCTACTCAATCTAAGTAATCAAATTCCCTGAGTTTTCCAGGTTTTTCCAGGTCGGATGAAAAAAATTCCAGGTGCATACAAATTATACACATTATTATTTTATCAATTTATCCATCTGGAATCCCTTTTAGGCTTTTATGTACTTATTGATTTATGTTATTTTCGATTGTTCAAACTTGGGCGTTGGTACTTATAAGTCGGCACAGCAAAAAAGTTATTGAATATTACAGCAGAACAGATGCACATAGGTTGTTTAATATTAATTTGTACAATTTATGTTTAGTAAATGCACCAATAGTGGAGGTACGTTAGTACAATGTACTTCTATAGCGGCTTAGGGAGACTTTATAAGCCACCATAGGAACACATTGCACTACACATAATTTGCGAAAAGAAATTATATCCATGGGTGTAATATTATATTTGGTTTTTGCAATCACATTAGATATTCATACAGTAGCATGAATTACGTCAATTGGGGCCTCATAGCCTGTAAAGTTTTCTGAAGTACTGTATTTCTGCTCTAAAGATCTACGAACTGCCCTGAAGTTCAATAAATTTCACAGTAGATCTCCGAACTTTTCTAAAGTTCTTTAAATTTCTTTGTGGATTCTTGATCTAAAGATCGGCGAACTTTCCCGAAGATCTGTAAGTTTTGCTGAAGTTTTTTCAAATTTTTCAAAAAACGTACGAACTTTCTGACGTTCTACAGACTTCTCTTAAGGTCTACGAACTTCTTTGAAGTTCTTTAGATCTATCTATTTCCGACTTCCATTGAGTTATGCAAAATATTGTACTTTTGTACTTCGCTGCGATTTGTTTTTGGAATTGAGGTGCTTTTCTGACATTTAACGAATTTTTCTGAAGATCTCACATTTGTGTGAAACTGTGAAACTTTTTGTCGAATTCCTGCAAATATCTTTAAAGTTCTGTAAAGTTGTCTTAAGCTCCGTAGCTCTATTCCCAAGATCTACAACAAAAAAAAAACTTGAGGCTCAATAAATTTATCAGTAGATTACACTGAAAATTTACTTTAAGATTACCTAAAGTTGTCAAAATTTATCTGAAAATATTTGACCTTCTTTGAAGTTTTAAATGTCTCTCACAAGATCTACAAATTTTTCTGAAATCGTGTAAATATTTTTTTTTAATCGCCGAACTTCCCTGAAGTTCTGAAATTTTTACTGAAGATCCATTAACATTTCTAAGATTCTTGTGATTTTTTCAGAAGTCCTGTAATTTTTTTCAAAGTTCTGTAGTTCTGATGTTGAATAATGTTTCGAGGATCTCCAAACTTCTTTCACTGTAGATTCTTAGGCTTGTCTGAAGTTATGCGAATTTCCCTGAAGATTTGCAAAATTTCGCTTATAGTTTTACAAATTGATTTGAAATTATTTTTGCTTGCTTGAAGTTTTGAAAATTTCTTTGAACATTTATCTGAAGATCTACGACCTCTCTTGTGGTTTTGTTTTTATGAATTTCTGTTAATAACTTTTAATTTATTTGTAGTTCTTTTCTCAAGATCTACGAACTACCCTGAAGCTCAACAAATTTCTCAGTACATCTCCGACCCTCTCTGAAGCTTAAAAAAATTCTATGTAGGCTCTCAGACCTGCAGTCTGGCATGCATATTCTTATACAATACATGCGTCGTATGCTTCCTTTTGACGGTTGCCAGTCTCTCTTTTTCGGCTGTTTCCTTTTTACGACGATTTTGATCCTCCACATACAAATCAGCGATGAGCGAGCGAACTTGTCTCGTTCGCACACGTTGTCTTAGCTGTCAGATGCTTGTCAAGTTCAGTGTCCTAAGAAACGTTTCGAGAAACTGAACGGAAAACTTCTTTTGAATTACGAATGAAATGATAATTGGAAAATTCCCTGAGTGGAGCGAAAATTCCCTGAATATTCCAGGTTCTTCCAGAAAAAATAAAATTCCCTGTAAATTCCCGGTTTTCCAGGTTTGTTCAGGTAGTAGACACCCTGTTTCTGCACCTCTATGAAGTTCACTGAAGAGATTCGAAGTTGGCTGTACTTCTTCTAAATTTTCTGCACTTCTAGAGCATTCCCTCGCCACAAATTGCCTAAATTTTTCAACCACCCCCTTGAAAATTACGTCATGTTATCAAAACACCCTACCCTAATTATTTGAAAGTTTGTTTGGCAATGACTTTTATAATTTTTTAATCAAATTATGATGTCTAATGTACTTCAGAATAATTTTTATAAAAAGTGGTTTAAATTCATAAAAGTATGCATTGTGAAACTTCATTACTCTTCCTTTCTCCGCCTTTAGACACCTGTGCTTGGAGAGTGGTTTTAAATCATCTATTTAAGAGCTGACATAAAATGACAGATATTGCAAGGTGACCAGTGAACCGGGAATCGGGAAAAAACAGAGAAAAAGCCCGAATTTCGAAATCACATTAAATTAAATAGTCGCAGAGTTCCTAATGTCATTCCAAAAGAGCCTCTAGGTTGAAATTTGAACTGTCAACAATATTCAACTTACCGTTCGATTCTCCCACATCAGGACCACCTCGTAACGCTTTCTTTCGTCCAGCTTTTTGGGAGTGCCACCGACCGACTTGGAACCGGCCTTTTCCCCTTCCAGCTCACCTTCGTTGGTCTCGTCCACCTCCCGGATTTCCGTGAACTGGCGATTACCTCGTTCCAGTTCGTTCAAATAGCCCAACCGCTCATCGTCAACCTCCCGCAGGAAAGTCTCTAGCAAAATGTCAGCATTTTTCGCACTTAGAACGCTCTTGCATATCAATTCCTGAGTTACGGCGATGGCCTTCTTGTTGGACACGCAAAGATCCGACAGGTAGTCCAGGAAACGGGACTGCCAGTTGTTCATGTTCTTCCGCACAAGACCGACGAACGTTTCAATTTCGGCGGCGGTGATGTGCTTCTCCAGCAGCTTTCGATTGTTATGCAACAATGCTGTGATCGTATCCTCGGCTAAAATGTCGTATCCGATCTGCTTCTGCATCAGTCCGAAGTGTTTCGCAATATACTCTTGATTTTTTCGATAATCCTGCTGGCTGAGCTTGAGTATCCGATAGCATAACCGAAAAATGTTTTTATAGGGAGCGTTCTTTGGATCACCCAGCTCATCTATCTTCAAGAATGGACCATCATTGTTCTTCGTTTCCTGGAATGGGCCTTGCAAGATCTTGAACAGCTGCTTCAGGATGTACTGCTCTCGGAGCAACTTCTGACGATCTCGATTCGGATTGTTTATCGTCAGATCGAGTGCATCGCTTTTGTTCTGTTCGTTTTCCTGACCTGCGATGAAGAAGACAATATCCTGAAGCAGGGCAATCAACGCACGCCTCTCATTCGGCGATATGGTACCGTTTTCCAACTTTGTACTCATAGCTTGCAGTAACTTGCAGGCATCGTTTGCGAAGTCCAAGTCTCGAACCTCCACCGGAGAAACGGGAATCAACTGGAAGGCTTCCTTGTCCTCTTTGATCGCAGAACAACCCACCTTGGACATTACTGGCTTATCTTCATCTGCGTCAATAGGAGAAGACGTTGCATGAACCCACGTATTGGAACAGAGATGTCGCATGCGCACATAACTATTCTGGGGTACCAATCCCTCTGGCCTTGTAATGGTAGTTGAATCCAGTTCAAACACCGAAGCAATATCCGTTGAATGCGGCACGGACACCAACCGGAATGAATCACCTTGCGGATGGCTAGAATTGCTGGACTTCTCCGTTCGCGATATGTCATCATCGATCTCTGCCGCCAGGTAGTACCCCGTGGCCAAGTGCTTGAACCGAAACAGAGAATTCCAATGGCCAGCTCCTCCCCGGCACGAATCATGTTGAACGACTTCGATCTCCCAAAGTGCTTTACTGCTCGTCGCCGCAGTAGCACTCGTCCTACCCGTAGTCCGCAGGAATACATGCTGCTGTTTCTTGAACTCGTCCATGGTCAAAAACTTTTCCTGCTCGGCATGGAACAACCTGACCACGTCCCCTCCCTTCAACACGTCCTCTTGATTCTCGCGATGTTCCATGAACAACGTTATCTTCCATGACGACGAGGAATTCAGAACGTTAACTTCCTTACTACCGGGATTATCCGGCAGTTCGTAATTTGCAGCGACGTGCAAATTCTGCCGGTTCGCATTGACTGGTTTCATTATGACCTTATCATTGACCACTACGTTATCTCCGGCCGAGCGAAGTTTGTAGAATGGCATAATGTAGAACCAGGAACCTTCGTTGCCGTTGGCGTCCAGATAGACGCGCATGGCATTCTTCTCCAGCAGGGCCGGCAGCCGTATGTTGACGGTGACATATTTGTTTGATTTCAGATGCAGCAGCTGCACGACGCTACCGTACTGCACGACCGTTCCCAGCAGTTTCTTGTTCTCGGATTCGTTTTGCTTTTTCTCGATTTCGGCGGCGTGCTGTGGTGTGGAATGAGAAAAAAATATAGTTAATAATCTGGACACTTTATGGCGAGATATGCAGTTGAAGTAGGCAATTGAAGAAATGGTTGAACTGAAATGAAATGGAGAATAATGAAACTAAAAACTTACGTACAAAAAATGATAAGCAGAATGCGATAACTTAAAGCATGAACTGGATACTGGAAGCTTTTTTCTAGAAGCTGCAAACTAATAATGTAAATTAAATATTAATTAGAAGCATCATAGGGGATAAAAAATGTCCAGTGTTAGCGATGTCAACAGCACTACAATAAATTTATAACAAAACTATAAAATCATGGGACAGTTTTAATATGTTATACATTAAATGATATGTAGATGAACATAAGACAAAGCATAATAATTGAGTTGTGTCAACCCTGCTTGGTTTATATTTGGGAAATAATGCAATCTGGTTTAAAATTGCGCTATTGGGTGTGAGGTTTAACTATTAACAATAAAAAATCAAATTGTACAAACAAGCGGTTGACTTCAAGGCCCGTTATCAACACAATATTGAAAAGTTTTAATTTTGAGAACGGGTATATTACGAAATTAATACGATTACGAAACAGAAATTAATTGCACCTATCTATCGAGACGAGTTATGGTTAGGTCAGGTGTACCAGTCATGGCTATACATTCCTTTTCATAATGTGTTTCAATTATGACATAAGGGAGTTCCATAGAAGGCCATAATTTTTAACACACCTTAATAGGAACATATAGCCATAACTGGTACATCTACCCAACTGGTAATTTTCCTACATTTCTCTAGAATATCCTCCATTATTTCATACACCATTTTTTAGTTGAAAAAAACCCTTCAAAACACCAAAATAGTCCAAAAAACGTGAAAATGAAATTATAACACCAAAACAACCCATCAAAACCGTATATTGATTGGGCTAAGCAGGACGTTTGATCGAATGGAGGTTTGTCGAAAGAGCGTTTGTCTGAAAAATGTTGACACATGATTACCATTTTGGTTACTCAGACTCATATAATTTTTCAAGAATTCTCTTAACTTCGCTAGAGTTTCAATACTTAAATATTGTTTTCTAAGTGAAGCATTTGAGAGAGCTGGATTGTAACTTTTGGATTTCTGGGCATAGATAAATATAATGATATCCCCTCACACGCAAAATAGTGTTTTCTTACTTCCATTGCAAGGCAAGATTTATTACATCCTCTGCATATATTGCATACAACAAATGTAATAACAGTTCTTGCAAGAGACTGCAGCGTACAAGAAAGTCTTATCAGAATGCACATTTTTGGATAAAACCTTTACGAGATGATTTTCCAGATGCAATGCATGTGGGGAAACAAACTTTGATCGAAAATAGGCTAACATAAATATTACAAAATTATTTTGAAAACCTTCCAGTGACCACATTACAGAACCTGGCCATGTCACAAAACATTGCAGATTCTGCTTCATGCAAATCAGCAATAGAATCTTACATTTCCTGGTTGGGTATAGCTATGGAAGTTTCAGGTTTGGCAGTTTGATAATATTAAAACAAAAATCAAAAAATTGTATAATTCTGTATTCGATGCCTTTCCGTACGTAGGATTAGATAAAAATTAAAAAAAATGTTAACAATCAAACTCTGCTTCTTGAATCCGAATTCGTGTTACGAGTTTTAATTTCGTCCTAACGTTTTGAAATGCCATTGTATTTTCTTCGTCCTATGGATGAAGGCAGAAAAATGGGATTGCTTGGAGTGCTTCTTTTGTTTTTGAGAACAATTAGTGTAAATATGCATTACACTGCACTTTGGCAGACTTTGTGTTGTTGCTCTTGAACTCACGTATTATTGATTTATGCACGGTGAAATCACTGATGTTATTGATGTTTTCTTCTTGATAGAACGGAAATGGGCGATTACGATGCAGTAGCGATCTACCCTACTTCACAACTTTATTGGAATACTCCCAGAGATTGAATCTGGAATTCGTAAAAAATAATTCTAGGAATTCATTTTAAGAATTCACCCAAAATTCTTATGGAATTCTCCTAAAAATATCAAGAATACCGAGCGATCCTTGATATTCTACTTAAAATTCATATGGATAAAGCAATCCTCAGAATTACAATCCATTGGAACTGTCCTCCGATTTAGATTAGTTCTTACCAAAATACCTTTTAGAGTTTTGTCAGAATTCTCTTAGAATACTCATCACAATTTCTGTGGAGCAATCCTCGGGATCGCCTTTAAAACTTAAACAAAATATCGTTCCATTTTTTGTTTAATTCCGTTGAAGTTTTCCTCAAAATTCCGAACTTTCTAATTTTATTGAAACTCCGTTAGATTTTTTTTAATTTCAATTCCCTACTAATTCTCATGCATTTTTCCTCTCAATTATCATGGAACTCTTCTTAGAAGTTCTACTCAAAACTACTACTAAGTAATCTTTCCTTGGAATACTGCCAAAAAATTAAATGCGTTTTAGAATTAGTCCTATTTTCGGATTATGATTTTCTCGGGATTCTTTTCACAATTCTCTTGTAATTTATGTTCAAATTTCCTTGGAGTTTTCTTTTCCTTTTCTGAGAATTTTCATGGAGTTCTGTTCAGAATTCCCTTGTAATCTTCAATAAAATCTTGGGAAATATCCTCTGAAATTTCTTCGAATTCTTCTCAGAGTTCCTATGATTTTTTTCAAAAGAATTTACTTTAAATTCTTCTGGACTTTTCTGCAGAATCTTAACGGAATTCACCTAAAAATTAGCATAGAACTTCAACCATACCTAACTTAAGGTCGCCATTTACTGCTCATGCTCCACTTCAACGATCGCTGTATACGTTTTATAATTATTTACGTATAATTTCAACATATACCAATACACTGGAACCTCCATTTACGAACCAATCCGGGGGCTCGTAAATCGAAGTAGTGCGTAAAAAAACCTCGTAATTTGGGATTTCGTAAAAACAGGTTTTTGAAAATATTGTCAAATATCCCACAATATGGGTATTTTTGATGTGCGATGTTATTCGAAGAGGTTGATTAGCTTGGAGGGATCGTTTCTGCTTATTGAGCAGAAAATTGGGTCAAGATTCATCACATCAAGCGTTGCACCGTCGCCGATCGTCAATAGGTCGTAGTCGTCCTGCGTCGCTACATCCAGCATAAGTTTAACAAAACGAACCCTGCTGTAGACCCTACCCCATATATCCAAAAACTCAGTGATTTCTCGTAGAAGTACACAAGTGAGGTGTCCTCGGTTTCCTTCAATGCGAGTATCACGTCATCACATTCCTTTCCACTACTTAGTTGACCTGTATTCGGGCACGGCCGGCGCTGGTACTGCTTAGTATCGGGTCGTTAGTTTTTACACATTGAGGATGTATTGTTAATCCCAAACATTATCTGTTGGTTGTATGTATGATAACAGCTGATCTAGAAAGCAGTAACGGAGTAGCAACCATGGCCGGTCAACATGCTCATACTCATTCTCAACATCCAAACATGTTTTAAAGTTTTTTTTTCATATTTTAGCTTATGAAAAAAAAGACATCAGTGAAATTTTTAAGACCGGTAGATATCATTAAGACCGATCCGTATATCATAACGGTGAAGGGCTAGAACTACCCAAACAAAAAGTTCACTTTTCTCATAGTAATTCCCATATAAACTTAAAGGACCAGTGCAGTATGAGTTCGCATCCAAATGAGCTCAAATTTTGAGAGAATTATCAGAACCTAATTTTAAATCGATTGAGGATGGTGGAGCAAAATCTATATTTTGAACCACCTTAATTGTACATACAAGCAAAACATGCAGAAAAGATCAAATGAAATTAATTATTAATATGCCAACGACACCAATTTTATTAATATTGAGTTAAAACATGATTTGTAAAATGTAAGGTGGCATGGATGTTAAATTATTGAACGAATAGATGAAACCAAGTTATACAATTACTCACATGCAACCGCTTGAGCAAGCTGGTATCCGTATTCGTTGTGGTACTTTGCTTTGCTGCCTTCCAGAACTGTTTTTGAGCCGAATACCGATTCATGGGGCATATTTTAATCAGACAGTCCCGGAACTTTTCCGGCGGATCATTTAAATCACCCGCACCGGGACAAACGACAACTCGGTCATCTACCAAGCTTTAGAAACAGAAAGAGAAAATACGACCGATAATCCATTAGTTGATTGACAGATTTCAGGATCAGCCACGTCTCGTGCATGCAATACATACCCCAGAGTGCTCAGAAAGCCAGAAATGCTTGCCTCCGAATACAGGGAGACAATGTCTCCCAGGTGAAGGAAGCTAACCGATCCCATTGTGCCGTCTCCCATTTTCACTACTCAGTTGTTGTTTCAGACACACAAATACGACACAAACAAACAAACACGGAGGTGGTAAACCTTAACCTAGATCACAAATCGCGCATCTGGCGACGGGAGCACAAACTACACTCAATTTCGAACTCAATGCTCCATAAATCTCGTCTTCTCAGTGGACGGCAAGGGCGTATCGTTTTCCGCGCACTCCAACCACTCTTCTTTTGGCACGAATCCCACGGATTGCATCCACAGCGGCAGCATCGTCCTACTCCTCCCTCCTCGAGTGGTTTCAATTCGAAGGATGCATCTGGGGAAAAATGGAAAAAGGAAAACTATTGTTAGTGACGGAAGAAATAAATCCGGACAGTGTTTTATGCGTGGGTGGGTGATGGCCGGGCAGGGCAGGGCAGGGCAGGACAGTGCAGGGAAATAGCAATAAAGCGAAATTGCTCGGGTCGTTGAATGGGCGATGAGCGGGAGAACAAATAAAAATTGACGGGCGCAAGCCGCTCTACCCCTGGGCTTTTTCTTGCTGGTCGCGTTCCGCGTTGACATCAAGAGTTGTGCTCTGATGGTTCTCAGTACGCCATTGACCTCATTGGAAAGGAGGAGTACGAGCGAATGATTTTCTGTATCGCCATTAAGGGGAAGCTTAGCGGCCATTTTTTTAAACTGGCAAATTTAAATTTTTCTTAGATTCCTGAGAAAAATTACCTGTAGAAATGATTTGTCCTGAGTCCAACTTTGTGCCATGATGACATAGAAAAAATGTATTTACACGTAATTTTTCTTAGATTTTTATATATTTTTCCAATATTTTTAGAAAAATCAAAACGTAAACTATCTTTCCGTGGCGGTAAGCTTCCCCTTAAGAAAAGTCATAACGTAGTGGGAGTTGAAAGATTGCTGGAATATTGGCTGTATACCATGGACCGAGAAAATAATGATGTTGAGGACAGTGGCTTGGCACTTTGGTTTGGGTGAATTATAGCTTTCCCAGTAGTGTTAACTCAAGCACACCAAGATGGACATTACAGTAAATAAAGACGTGAATTTGGCCAATGGCAATATAAACAGTTCGCCCCCTTCGCTTCGCTGTTGGTGTAGCTAATTAATGGAGTGACAACAACCGGCTTTTGGTTTTGATTTTTTTCCGAGACATTGGGTAGATGAGCGCACAGAAGCAAATGAAGTTAAATGAACTTTAAACGTGAAGTAACCAACAACACAGCCAGAAGGCGCAAGACAACATTGAATGTAAAATATGTAGGAAGGTATAGCTTGAATCTGCGATGGCATGAACGTTTACAGCGACAAATGCTTGGAAGGAGAAAACCTTCGTGGAAACCGGAATGGTATTGTTTTTGCTTCGATAGCAAATATACAGAATCTCGGTGCGATTTCTGATTTCAGATTTAAGTTGCTTGAACCAACAATTCAGACAAAATCAGAAAATTTAAATTTAAATTAAAGGTCAGAAAAAAATGTTTGATTAAAATAAAGCATATAAAGTAGCTAAGACAAAGAAAAAAAACTTGTAAATCATTTGAAGAAGTAATCCCTTTCAAGACCTGAAAGGCAAGTGTTTTATACTCATCGACTCAGTCCAACAATGTGAGCGCAATATACTATAGAGAGCAATTTAAATTAAACTGTTTTCTCATAACTGTCGTATATTTTCAATGTAAAAAGAGACTGATTTCCGATTATGGGTAGCAAACACATCATTTACTAACTTATTCTAAAAAACCCTTGACAAAAATCCACATTGATCACTTTACACTCAAGGGAAATAGTATGGATAAATTCGTTTGGCTGTCGCTTCTATGTTCAAACATTTATTCACTGTTTCAACACAGACAAACAGACTTCATTGTTGATCATCGTATAGGCATTTAACGTTCAATTTAAACATTAATTGCATCGTTGTCAATAGTTCGAAAATTTCCTGGATTTAAAATCTTGTTTGTAGCCAACAATTGAATATTTTGTATAAGAGTCTATCAATCGTACGCTTGATTGATCAGTGATCAGCTTGATGCTTCATCAGCGAGGAACTATGCGACACAGCACAGCTATGCAAGCTTCTTCACCGCTCATTAACATCTGCAGGCATCATCCTCCTGTACTGATGGAATTCAAGATAAGTCCACAGCAGGGTTTCCAAGATACCTCTGAAAGAATTTCGTATGATTTCAGAAAGGCTGACTTCAACAGCATGAACGATTTCCTCGCTTGTGTCTATTGGGACGAGGTTCTTCAAAATTATAATGCCAACCCAGCGGGATCTGGTATCCTGTGGTATGCCATCGATCAGTTTGTTCCCGTGAAGTCCAGACACGAGCCGCAGGGCTGGTAGCAATCACTGCTGTCAAAAATAGTGATTTTAGTGACCATGTTGAAGAAATAAGTGACCAAATAGTGACTTATAGTTGTAAAAATAGTGACTAAAAAGTGACCTAAGTGACACCAAATAAATGTTTAATGTGTTTAACGCTTATGTACGATATGAAGCTTTAAAGCGACAGATTCAATAGAAAGTTTATAACAAACCCACGGTATTGGCCAGGGTGTCTACTAACTGCAAAAACCTAGAAAACCAAGAATCCTCATGAACTTTTATTTTCCTTAAAATACCAGAGAATTTAATAATTTTCTTACTAAGGATAAAGGGCGAACACGAAATTATTGCAACACCGAAAATGTCATGCCAATTTTCTTATAATGTTTAGAATCAAACCAAAATTTTAGGGTAGTTTTATAGGCGCTTCTCGAGGCACTCAGATTTGTAGATCTCGCCATTTACTGTGCCCTTTGTCACGAAAGGCTCACTCCTCAGTCCGCAAGAGCAGATGGCCTGCCAAATGAGATATTTGGAGGCGAACTTCGACATTTTCTTCTTCTTAAATTTGTCGTCCATATCGAACTTGCTCTTGCCGGTGAAAAACTCCAACCCCGGAATTTGCTTAAAATCGGCTTTTATATACGTTTCGTCGTCCATCACACAGCAGCCATATTTTGTCAGCATCTTCTCGTAGAGCTTCCGTGCCCGAGTTTTAGCCGTCGATTGTTGCCGCTCATCGCGGTTTGGGAAGTTCTGTACCTTGTATGTATGTAGTCCAGCTCTCTTCTTTGCATTCTGGACGTAGCTCTGCGACATGCCGATCTTTTTAGCCAAATCAAGGCGTTGGGATTTGCTTTAATCATCCGCTTCACCTTTCCCTCCGTCTTTTTGTTCTCCGGTCCCGGTTTTCTTCCAGCTCCTTTGCCGTGGTCCAACGTCAACCGCTCCTGGAACCGCTTCAACACTCTGGAGACGGTTGAATGGTGAATGTTCAACATTTTTCCCAACTGCCGGTGCGACAGGTCAGGAAATTCCAGGTGTTTGGAAAGAATTTGTTCTCTCAACTCGCGTTGGTTCACCTCCATTTTCGTTGAATCGAAAAACACGACTTCGAGTTTGACAGCATGTACACAATACACATCAATGAGAAAGTGTGCAAAATTTGGTTGATTTTTACCCAATGGTAAAAAAGTTATGCCCTGTTGAATGTGTCGCAATAATTTCGTGTTCGCCCTTTATTTTAAAGAATATAATGAATTTTAAAATACAACCATTTAATTTTTCTCGTTATTTTCATTCACACTTTAAACTTTATTGATCCACAGTGGATTAATCTTCAGTAACAAATAAATTAAAAAAAAAAACAACAGAGGATTGAAATGTTTTTTTTTCATTTTTTTTTAGTTTTGGAACATGCATATTTCCTAAAAATTTTACATGTGAACTAGCTCTGGACGTAAAGGCTATAATACTTCAAGAAATGTTCAAGAATCTGGAGTCAAATTCAATGCACAGATTTAAAGGCTCGTGGAATTTTATTATAATTTCTAATAACCTCATTCCAAGGGAGTTCTAGGGTTTCAAAATCTTTCAGAAAAATATCACATGCAATCTGATCTCAAGGTATTTCTGATGAGCTTTAGATTTCATGTGAAGTTTCGTGAAGAATTTCGAGAAACCCTGAATTGAATTACAAGTTAATTTAAATGAAAACTCTAAGTAGTTTCTGAGGAGCACAACTGCTGTAAACTTCAGAGGAAAATTCCAAGAGTATTCTGTGGATAATTTTATAAAATTCGTGGGAGAAAACGAATCCAGAGCATAAGCCCTTGGATTTTATTGAAAATACTAAAAGGAGGATTACAATTAAATCTGAGAATAACTCCAGGACATCTTCAAAGGAATTCGGAAAATAAATTCAGGAGAGTTTGCCAAACAAATTATGATAAGAAATCAAATGAATTTGTTTGGAGAAATTCCAATGAATTATTATGACACTTTCAATGTGAGTAGAATTCCAAGGGAAGGAGTGAGAGTCAAAAGGAAATAAATTAGTATTCGGAGAATCTTTCCAAAGAGTTTCTTATTGTGAAGAATTTCAAGGTAATTCTGAGGAAAATTAAAAGTAAAGTGAATTCTTCGGATAGCTTCATCGAAATCTTGAGGAATATTTCAATGAAAATCTCCGTTGAATATGGAATGGACAATTCTGAGGACTTCAGAACTACTTGAAAGTTCCCAAATTTTTCCTGAAGTTAATGAAACTGCCTTGAAGTGCTTTTGTAGTTTGAGAAACTAGTCTGATGCTCACAATACTTCTCATAACATTGTTAAACTTCCCTGAACTTTATAGGACTTCCTAAAGTTTCCTCAATTTTTCTAACGATCATGGATCTCCTGTAAAGGTTTAACAATTCGCTGAAGTTCTCTAATCTCGTTTAAAATTGATGTGACTTCTCTAATGTTAACGGAACTGCTCTGAGGTTCTCGTTCTTTTCTGGACTTCTCAAAACTTCTCTTAAGTTTTTGCAGTTTTCAAGAAGAATGTTGTACTGCGCTGAATTTAATTGAACCGCCCTAAAAATGTTTAAGCTTTAGTGAACTTATGCGAAGACCTCAATTAACTTTTTAACGTCTCTGAAGTTATCTGATAATATGGGAACTGCTATAAATTTCCAACTAATTTGCTGAAACTAATGGAACTGACCTCCCCCTGAAATTCCTCCAATTTTCGGAGCTAAATAAACTTCTTTCAAATGCTCCCGCATTTTGTTATTGTTTATAAAAAATCCTGAAGTCCGCGGATCTCCCCTTAAGCTCCATAGATTTTTATGAAGTTCTCGAATTTTTTTCTAAGTTTTTCTAAATTTCTGGAACTTTTGTGCTCCCGCAATTTTCATGGAATTAGAACGAAATAATTAATATAGTTATATGATTTTCACTGAAGTTCTCAAGATTTTTCT